TGAGGTGCTTACGTGGCTAGGTGTTGATTAGTTTAATTACAATAATTGATTATTGATTTGCATTTATTATTTGCGATTTGAATTAAATGGATTTAATTGTTTTATGTGAATTATTGTTATAATTAATTAAATTGTGAATTTGTATTTGTTCTATTTAATTTCCACTATGGTAGGATTAGGTTAGGGTTTTAGTGTTATTATCACCTTCAATTATGCAGCCGACGTTGGTATAATATAGGTTGGTCTATGGGCCGAATAAATCATTTAGGGTTTAATGGAACCTAGAATTGGTGGTCTATAAATATACCAGTGATGTTCTGCCTAGGGTTGAGGGTTGTATCCACGATATAGAAAAGGCAGAAGTAATTTGGGAGAAGTCTGGGAAGCAACAGAGAGGGAAGAAACAGAGGGTTGGCCGGAGACTTTAGGACGACGTCGGTGTAAGGCAAGTTCTAATCCTAACTCTATCCCATTGATTCGTGTTCTTTGCATGTCTAACACAACTCCAGGGAACTGTTAAGGATTAAAATTAAACTGGATTTCTTGTACCTCTATTGTTTTAAAACTGATTGTAGTTGTAATATGTGTACTGGTTGTTTTAATTGTCTTCCTTGTGTAACTTCTGTTTAATTCGTGTAATCTGATGAGCAAGGATTCTAATTAGTTCTATAACATGTTGGGAAGCATTAGAATTAATTTAGGTTGCAAGTTTGATTTGCTGCAACAGTCGATGCTCAAGAATGCTTAAACTGCTCGTATTAAATTCTTTTTGCAAAAGCCATGTATTAAATTGAGTTTGGTATTGAACAGAGAATTCAATAGATTCTGGAACATGTGGAAACTTAGTTTAAACATCTAAGAACCTTAGGATTGGAAGACAGTTCCTCAGAAATTCACCGGACGTGGAGACGATGAACACACAGGAAGAGAGACGGCTCAAAGATTAAAGAGCAGGCTCTTTGGAAACAAAGAGCAGGCTCTTTGGAAACAAAGAGCAGGCTCTTAAAATTAAAGAGCCGGCTCTTAGGGGACTTGGAGCCAGCTCCAAGACTAGGAGAGCCGGCTCCTAGCAAAAAAGAGCAGACTCTTCTTTTAGAAGAGCAGGCTCTTTCAAGGTTTTTCCAGTTTTTGATGTTTCGACGACCGTTTGGGCTACGAGGGTTGGATTTTGGAAATTTCAGATCCTGTTAAAAGGTATAATTGGGGTTTTTAGTATGTTCTAAGGCCATATTAAAGTTTCTAAGGGTTGGTTAACTAGATTAAAACACTGGTGTTTGTAGTAAAACAATGCATAAATTGTTAGAGGCAAATCTGGTTATTGTTTTTGGAGATGTAGAGGTTTAATTGCCTTTAATCTAATCTAGCAGATTACTAAGGATGGTTACACCATGTTAAACATGGAATTGTGGTAGGAACAAGTATGCCTAAGCTTTAATTACTGCTAGCTATGGATTAACTGTTATATAGAACTTAACTCGTTTCAGTTTTGAGCATAAAGACATGTTAAGTCGATTGTTGTTTTGATGTCGTATTAAATTCCTATTGTTATAACAATCTGATGGGATGTTATTGGGTGTAAATTAGACTCCTATGATTAGTTTTAAAAACCAATAGAGTGATAGGAATGATCCGGTAAAGGAGCAGAGAAGCTGATACAGAGCAGAACAGAGAGAAGGCTCACAGGGGGAAGGAGAGCCGGCTTTGGAATGCCAAGAGCCGGCTCCCACCTGATTATAGCCGGCTCCAAGGTTGTATGGAGCCGGCTCTAGGCTATTTTGGAGCCTGCTCTACTTTGCCAAGAGCAGGCTCTTTCCAATTTGATGGAATTTGACGAGTACTGTAATGTTTTTAGCTACTCTTTGGGAACTTGGGGTTCTTGAACAATTTTAGAATTTTAATGGGGTTTTCATTAATTAGTTTAACCTATAATCAAGGTCTTTAATTGCATAAAATACTCCTTTTGTGTTAATGGAATTAATAGTACGCTATTTAACAACTATGCGTACAGTTAACGACTGGAAGGCAATTAATTGTCTAGTTTAATTTGACACTTTAAGATGCTATAACATGATTCTAAATTAGGTTTTAGATGCACGGTGGAGTCTTTTAATTAGTAAATTGGACTTGGGGCATAGGGTATGGCTCCGTGTTAAAGGATAAAACAGAATACGAGTATAGCACTTAGTACGCTGTTACCGGATGGAAAGAACTAAATTGCTTAAATTAATTTAGCAATTTTTTGGATTATAACATGATTATAAAACTGGTTTAAATGCATGATAGAGTTGTTGATTTATTAAAACTGATCTATGCATGCTCTGGATGCTGGTTTTTGAACTATTACACCGTTTCTTGCAAATACATGGTTTAGATCTTGGATTTAAATTGCTGAAATTTTAATTACTTTTCTGCAATGGTATGAATATTTGGTTTAGGACTGTAAATTACTTGCTTATTATTTATATATTGTAATTTACACGGATATGGAGGATTGTATGCACCGGTATGGGACGGTGACATACTAGGTATGGTTTAGCTCAAAACGCTAATTCCTACCTTATGGATTTTAATTGCTGAACAGTTTTACCTGTTCTATCAATTATATGGATTTTGTGGATTGTATGCACTGGTATGGGACGGTGGCATACTAGGGACCAACTGATTCAAAATACTCAGTCCTACCTATTTTGGAATAAGGGTGCGAATTATAAAAACATAATTCTCCTTATATTTAAGTCTGTGCGATTGAATAAACTGAACGACTTATTGGATCTCTTGTATAAGTCTGTGCAGCTGAATAAGCTGAACGATTTATTGGATTTCCTGTGGATGGATATGTATGGATTTTAAATATATTTTTATGGTACCATGAGATGAGCTTGAGTCTCAGGCTCGTTGGTTAGGGTGCGTATATGCAGTAGGATGCGTAGCTGGATATGAGAGGTTGAGGTGTACCCTGTTAGGTCTAGGTACTCATGCCCACCTATGGGTGCGTTTTCGCATGGTGCCTTCTATTCAGGTTGAGGCCCTCTCCATAGTCCAGTGAGAGTCCTGTAGTGTGAATATACATATCTACGGACTATTTAGTTATTATTGAGTTGGTTAGAATGTATATGCGTATCGAGTCTCTACTTGGATTGTAATAGGTTAGAACTTGTTCGTGGGCCTGACCCACCTTTATTTTTCAGGTACTTGTCAGTTCCAGACTTAGACTTGATCGCGCTGAGCGGAGATTACTACTCACTCTTCCGACGACGTAGGACTTTCCTCCATGGTTTACTCTGGATGTTCTTTAAGTAGCTTCCATTTCAGTTTGGATTATTATTAGGGGTCCATTAGAGATGGATTCCCGAGTTGTATTAGAATTGGAGAAGTTGGGTGTATCAGACTGATTATTTATTTATAAAATTTTATTCTGAGGTTTCCAGTTTTGGTTTATCATTCTAGTTTCTTTTCAGCAATTTATTTATTCCTGTTTTTAATTATATTCTGTGTTCATTTATTGCTAATTGGTTTGATATCCTCGGGTAATCGGGCGTGGACCTGGCCAACCCGCATCTGGAAATTCGGGGGTATCACATTGTTGAAAGCCCATTTTTAGGGGAGGTTATGCCGAATTTTTTTTAAATTTTGGTATCAGCTAGGGTCGTTACAACTCATAAGGAATACGAATCTTTTGTTGTAACAGCACCATGTTATACAACAGATGTGTGAGTGATCATAGTCGTTTCCTCTTATATAACACGGTATGAAATCTATTTCTAAATTGAGTATGAAATCTACTTTTGCATTCTATATACTATTGAGGCCTTCAAAAAATTTACCAACAGTTGTGGATGATTTTTTTTTTATTCTACTTGTTTTTGGCCCAAAAACTGGCTGTGCCTTCTTCTATTTATTTGAATTTCCAAAGTGCTAAAAAAAACATTAGCTGAGAGCAAAAAAAGCATAGTAATGGAGCAAAAACTGGCTGTGCCTTCTTCTATTTATTTGAATTTCCAAAGTGCTAAAAAAAACATTAGCTGAGAGCAAAAAAAGCATAGTAATGGAGCAACTCAATTTTTAGGCAACATCCAAACACGTCCTGTATTAAACCAAGTGTATTATAATTTATATCCCAATCCTAAATTGGAAAATGCTTAGTTTGCACCGAAAGATGATTCTTTAATCTTTGTCTCTTTGATGCACAGAATCATCTAAAATATGCCCCTAATATATTTATTATGACTTTAATTAAATTATATAGCTCTGCACGGGACCCAACTATCCAATCAAGGTCAATCAAATAGACTTTGAACAGCTTTTGACTTTAATTAATATTAGCAACTGTTCAATGCCAGTTAAATGAACTATTGCTTTTCAAAATTGTGTGGGAAACAGATGGGGATCATTTCATATCTAATTGGGAATCCTGCTCTTTCTTATTTTAAACTTAAATAGCCAGTAGGTATTAGGTGCACTAATCAGAATCGTGTGCACAATTATTGGCGGATTTAGGGGTGGTTTTGATAGTAAAAAAATATATATTATACCTAATTTTAGTCCTGTCAAAAAAATAATAATAATAGTAATAAATTCATTATTATTATTAACCCACCTAAATAAATATTAGTCCACCCATTAATAATTCGTCTTTGTGCATAACACTTATAGATATATGCACATTATAAACTACTCTGATTAGTGTACAGTATACTTGGCACACCGAATAACTATTCTCTAAATAGCATTGATTGTATGATTAGAGCCCATCAAATAAGGTAAATTTGTCCAACAATCAATTGCCTTTTCTTTTGCTTTATTGGATTCTCTTCTTCCAACGGGAAAAGAAGAAAAAAGTGAGAAAAAAAGTTTCTAACGCCTTGAAAGTCAAAAAAAGGTGAAGGTATGTTTTCACATTTACAATGCAAATATGACCATAAACATATTTTTACAGGGTATAATGGAATCCAAACTTTTGAAGCAACATGGCTCAAAAGAAATACCAAACTTAAAAAAGAAGATGAGAATACAGCATAAAGAAAATCAATGTGAAAGGTACTCGATAAACTTTTATATGTCATACACAAAAATTATAGTAGACTCATAATACAGCCAATCTCAACCATAAAGGCACAATTTTTATTATTCACCAAGAAAAGAGACAATGTGATATGCCCATCCATTAGTACATTTCTATACCATATTTTGATCCCATTTTCCAAACTGTCCTCAATCACCATGAGATAATGGTCTGCAATTGTGATCTGCTAAGCATACTAGTGTTCCATAACCTGGTAAGATTTTCTCACCGCAACAATGGCATCAAACCAGAACCTAAAAGATCTTCAGTGGGTTCTGCAGGCAATCAAATCAGAAAGTCTCAACCTGCACAGCATTTCCTTCTGCCTTTCTCATCCAACCTCAAGTTCTTACCAAGAAACAGAAAACTCTCTGAATATTAACATTTCCAAAGACGGCCTTTCGTACTTCTCTCACATCCTTTCGGTTTTAGGAACAGCCAAAAACACCCAGTCATCTCTGCAAATCTTGGAGTTTCACCAGGTTGAATGGGAACTACAGCAACTACAAAATTTCCTGGTGTTGATTGAGAATAACTCGAACATGAAGCGAATTGTGTTTCAACAGAACAGGTTCAACAGAGAATGCTTATCAGAACTGTCAGAAATGTTGAAGAGAAACGGAGTGGTTAAAGAAATCATGTTCATCAAATCAAGCATTAGGTCTGTTGGAGCAAGCCTCCTTGCTTCAGCTCTCAAGGAGAACAATAGCTTGGAGGAGTTGCAAATATGGGAGGACTCAATTGGGTCGAAAGGTGCAGAGGAGCTTTCGAAGATGATTGAAGTCAACTCGACACTGAAACTGCTGACAATTTTTGACTCACGTTCGATCACAGCAACCCCACTAATTTCTGCTGCCTTAGCAAGGAACAGAACGATGGAAGTTAATGTTTGGAGTGGAGAACATGGAGAAAAGAGCTCCAAGGTAGTTGAATTTGTACCTGAGAACAGTACACTCCGAGTTTACCGGCTTGATGTGTCAGGCTCTTGCAGGGTTGCTTGTGCTCTTGGGTGGAATTCGACGGTCAAGTCACTTGACATGACTGGAGTACGGCTGAAATCTCGGTGGGCTAAGGAGTTTCGATGGGTTTTGGAACAGAATCAGAGACTGAAAGAGGTGAATATTTCAAAAACTTGCCTGAAAGACAAAGGAGTTGTGTATGTTGCAGCTGGACTCTTCAAGAATCAGAGCTTGGAAAGCTTACACATTGATGGAAACTGGTTTGGCGGAATTGGCGTAGAACATTTGCTCTGTCCTTTAAGCAGATTCTCTGCTCTGCAAAGCCAAGCAAACGTAACTCTCAAGTCAATAACATTTGGAGGAGGAAGAACTAAGATTGGAAGGGATGGTCTTGCAGCCATCTCACAGATGCTGACGACCAACCAAAGTGTGACTCGGTTAGGTATACATGATGATGAGAGTTTAAGGCCAGAAGATATTATCAAAATCTTCAGGAGCTTGGAAAGGAATGCCACTTTAAGGTCCTTGTCTTTACAAGGTTGCAAAGGGGTTAATGGTGATTTGGTTCTGCAGACAATAATGGAGACACTACAGATAAATCCTTGGCTTGAGGAAATTGATCTTGACAGAACACCGCTACAGAATTCAGGGAAGACACAAGGAATATATCAGAAATTGGGTCAGAATGGCAAGACCGAACCAGAAACCGATTTGCTCAAGGACATGACAATGGTGGTACCCAAGAGCTGTAGAGTTTTCTTCTGCGGACAAGATTACGCCGGTAAGTATAATTATTTATGAGTTTGAGAATCTGAATTAGTAGAATTTACCCAAAAACAAGTAATAGAGAGAGATTCTGAATAGTAGTGAAACTGATTTTTATCTATTGTCTTTTAGAAAACAAAAAGCATATTGAAACTCATTGGTGTTTTGTTATCATGGGCAGGTAAAACTGCACTGTGCAATTCAATATCCCAGAACTTCTCTTCTTTAAAGCTACCTTACCTGGACCAAGTAAGAACTCTAGTGAGTCCAGTTGAGCAAGCTGTTAGAACAGTAGGAATGAAAATAAGGACTTTCAAAGATGAAGACACAAAGATTTCAATATGGAACCTTGCTGGTCAGCATGAGTTTCATGCCCTCCACGATCTCATGTTTCCGGGGCATGGAAGTGCATCATTTTTCCTGATCACATCCAGTTTGTTCAGGAAACCCAACAACAGAGAACCCAAAACCCCAGCTGAGATAGAAGAAGACCTCCAATATTGGCTTAGGTTCATAGTCTCCAATTCAAGAAGGGCAGTCCAACAGTGCATGCTACCAAATGTGACTGTAGTGCTCACACACTATGACAAAATCAATCAACCATCACAAAACTTGCAGGCTACTGTGACTTCAATTCAGAGATTGAGAGATAGATTTCAAGGTTTCGTCGAATTCTATCCAACTGTATTCACAGTTGATGGAAGATCATCAGCATCAGTGAATAAACTCACCCACCACCTCAGAAAGACAAGCAAGACAGTGCTCCAAAGAGTGCCTAGAGTTTATGAGCTTTGCAATGATCTCATACAAATTCTATCAGACTGGAGATTGGAAAACGATAACAAGCCTGCCATAAAGTGGAAAGAGTTTGGGGACCTATGCCAGACTAAGGTACCATCTTTAAGAATTCTATCAAGACATGACAATAGGGAGAAGGTGGAAATGAGGAGGCGGGCTACAGCTAATTGTCTTCATCATATAGGTGAGGTGATTTATTTTGACGAACTGGGGTTTTTAATCTTAGATTGTGAGTGGTTTTGTTGTGAGGTGATTGGTCAACTATTAAAATTAGATGTTAGAAAGGAAAGCTTAACAGAAAATAATGGATTCATAAGCAGAAAAGAATTAGAGAAGGTTCTTCGAGGAAGTTTACATAAGCAGATTCCTGGGATGGGTTCAAAGGTGTTTGAGAACTTGGAGCCCGGAGATCTTGTCAGAATGATGCTGAAATTGGAACTGTGTTATGAACAAGACCCGTCAGATCCAAATTCACTGCTACTGATCCCCTCCATTCTTGAGGAAGGTAGGGGGAGGCCACAGAGATGGCAGTTAAGCACACCTGACTGTGTCTATGCAGGGCGACATCTTGAGTGCGATGATTCAAGCCACATGTTTCTAACAGCAGGCTTCTTCCCTCGCCTACAGGCAAGAGTTTCCCTTTTGATCTTTCAGTTTTTCCTTTGTTATTTGTACTTTCCCTATGGTTTTTATTTCTCAAAGGTTGAGCTACTGATTATGAACATGAAGAATATAAAGACTACTAAGATATAAAACATGAAGAACTTACCGGAAGAACATTTACTAGGGGGCATGGTAGATTTTTTATTTATTTTTTACCTGGGGTATGGTAGATTAAGAAACTGAGAGTTTATTAGGAAGATATTTAAAAATCAAACTAGAAAAAAAAAATGGTAGTAAGATACTAACACATTTATGAAAGTTATGTATTTTGATGCTTTGCTATAGAAAGAAAACTCTGTCCTTACATTTTTTATTCTATGTATTATAAGAATTCAAAATTCATTAGTACCCCGAACGTGAATTTGATTGGATGATGTATGTATTAAACTTGAATTATAAAAGCTTTGTCCCATTGCTTGATCTATCTGTCCTTGGAACCTCGATAGGATTTCTCTGACATACTTAACTAATGCTATTCAAATGAAACTAAATGCTTCAAAAAAGATATGAAACGTGTTTGCATCTACTTTTTTGCTATTATTGTTATTATTATTATTATTATTATTGGGAAATCCTAATCGGTGATACTTAACTGGTTATAAAATCTTTCCACATATATTTTGTTAATAGATGTTTTATACTTCAATGGTAACTGTCATCAATGTTAAATCAATGAACAATACAGGCTAGGACTCCTGAAGTTACAATTTTGGATGGTAAACACCTCTATGATCATCCTTGAGTTGTGAGTAAATTTCATTTATTTGCAATACAGGTACATCTCCACAACAAAATCATCGGATTAGGAAATCAACATGGAGCAACTTACAGTCTGGAAAAATACCTCATATCAATAAACATCCATGGTATCAATGTCAGAGTAGAGCTCGGAGGGCAGTTGGGTTACTACATTGACGTCCTTGCATGCTCCACCAAGAATTTGACAGAAACCCTTAGATTATTCCAGCAGCTCATAATCCCTGCAATCCAGAGTCTCTGCCAAGGCATCACATTGACTGAAAATATTCTTCGGCCAGAATGTGTCAGATATCTAACACCCCCAAGATTCAGAAAGACCCAATTTGTGCCTCTGCAACAATTAAAACAGGCTCTACTCTCAGTTCCTGCAGACAGCCTGTATGATTATCAGCACACTTGGGGTTCAGTGTTAGACTATGGCAAATCTGTGTTAAGAGCCGGCTTTGATCTTGCCCGTGACCTCCTATCAGATGATGATTTCCGGGAAGTGCTGCACCGAAGATATCATGACCTGTACAATCTCGCTGTGGAACTACAAGTTCCGCCAGAAAACAACCCCGATGGACTAGATAATCCACAAACTACTGGTGAAGAAGCTGACGGCAAAGTTGATCCGACCTTTGGAGGCATTGCCAAGGGGGTTGAAGCAGTTCTGCAGAGACTGAAGATCATAGAACAGGAAATCAGAGATTTAAAGCAGGAGATTCAAGGGCTGAGATACTATGAACACAGACTCCTAATTGAGCTGCATCGCAAAGTGAACTATCTTGTCAACTATAATGTCCAACTTGAAGAAAGAAAAGTGCCCAACATGTTCTATTTTGTTAAAACAGAAAACTACTCGAGGAGATTGGTCACCAACATGATTTCTGGCATGAATGCAGTACGGTTGCACATGTTATGTGAATTCCGGCAAGAAATGCATGTGGTTGAAGACCAGCTGGGTTGCGAACTGATGCAAGTTGATAACATGGCGATGAAATCTCTGGCTCCATACATGAAAAAATTCATGAAACTTCTAACATTTGCTCTTAAGATAGGAGCTCATCTAGCAGTCGGGATGGGAGAAATGATACCAGACTTGAGCAGGGAAGTTGCACATCTGGCTGACTCTTCTCTACTTTATGGGGCAGCAGGTGCAGTTGCTGCTGGGGCTGTGGGAGGCGCGGCTGCTGGGCTTTTAGAGGGAAACAGGAGACAGAGGGACATTCAGCAAGATCAAAGAACAGCACAGCAATGGGTCATGGACTTTTTAAGGGATCACAGGTGCTCAACTGGAAGAGAAATTGCAGAGAAGTTTGGATTATGGAGAGTGCGATACAGGGATAACGGCCAGATTGCCTGGATTTGTAGGAGGCATATCTACGCAAGAGCCAACGAAATAGTCGAAGTACCAATTTGAAATCTTGCCAAAGGCATAGAGGGTTGTGAAAAAAGTGTGCGTGTGTGCGCGTGTGTTTTCTCTCTACTTGCGGATAGAGTAGAAGAGGAGCACACATCCACATCATTTCAAATATTACTAATGCCCTGGTGTATTTAAGGATTGTGGTTTTTAGTCTGCGTTTCTTTTGCTGCAACAAGACCAGATCTTATAAATCATCATGAACATTTTAACATTTAGCAAAATAGGTCCAGAAATTATCAAGATGCAAATGTATGGAACTCTAGGAAGTAGACGCACAAAACCTGTAGGTTTGAGCCTAATGAAATAGCAAAAATAAAAACAAAGGATACTTCTACCTAACTGGACTTCTTGCCCCAAATCGCCACTGTGCGCGGGACCCAGAAATCATCCTTCATCCATGTCCATCCATATTTTCTCGTTGCACAGTAGCTTGGCACCGTAAGGGGACTTGATTACACAATGATTGCAATCAGAAAAAAGAAAGTAATATGTACTGCTAAATTTTCAAATCATTAAAGGCTAGTAGCAAAAGAAGGAGATAAACAAAACATAATAATCTCACATATACTAAGAGCAAGTGCAATAGTACAAAGTTTGGACCGCATACAAGTCATGATTTTTCCATCATCTAAAACATCCCAACATACAAAGGGCAACACCACATTACATACTCAATTATAACATTACTACAAGCATTAGTCTTGATTCTAATGTCAAATGTCACCTGTATGTCCTCTTCTAAATTATTGAAACAAAAAGCTCAGAAGAAGGCCCTACTCCCATAAAACACTCGAGCACCAGTGTTCTTTGACGCCTGTAATTTCTGATCAGAACTAGAATTTTCAGAACTGGATGTACCACTCTTAATGTCCACAGGAAGCTTCATCTTCGCCAACGACTCAGTAAATTGCTGCATACTTTTCATGTACATGTCCACTATCTCCTGTTGCACCACCTTCTGCTCTGGTAGGGTGACAACAGGCTTTGCAAATGAATCACCAGACATCTCACCTGAGGCATCACTTTCAGCAGCTCCAACATCTTCTCTTTTCTCTTTCAGATTTTCATTGGCAGGTGAAACAAATTCTTGATTTGGAGATTTTGAAGTTCCTGGAGTATCACAGGACTGAGAACTTGCAGGAAGGGAAGCAGATGGAGAGTCATTAGTTGAAACACTGCTAGGGGGAGAATGACGCTTTGGAATTTGGATGGAATTTATTGTTTTGGTTGAGATGCTCTCCACAACATGAACCTCAATTTCGGGACTAGTCTGATTCTCAATATCGGAAGAGACCAAGCTCTCAGGGCTCTGGGTGTCCATATTGGAACACGGGATGCCAAAGTATTCTGTAACCATCATCTGATTCTCGTTCACAACCTTCGGGTCTGGGAACTCAATCTTGTCAAACTCACAATCTTCAGGTATTTCTGAATCCTGCACTACTGCATCTCTAGCCGCAGATGTGGGCAGTGAAGGAATGACCATCACTTGTGGTGAAGCTCCACTATAAGAGAGAGATAACTGAACAAACCCTGCTGGGGAGTGGAACAAATCAGTTGAGGAAAGAGAGAACTCTTTTTCGAACTTCCCGTTCTTGATGAGGACTTCAGAGAGAGGCACCAAAGCGAACCCCAGCAACTGGTCTTCAAGATAATTCCTCACCCTGCTCAGCATCCATATCTCACATTTGAGGGAGGAATCTATGGTCCGGACATTGAGCCGGAGGTTCTCATTGAAGACGGGATTCTTCCCACCACCATTAATGATCTGGGTGGAGACTGTATTTTCAGGATCACTGGTAAGGCAAAGCTTAGCATAAACATCTTGCTTGTGGTATATGCAGATGTTATGGATGTCCCGAGCCTGATGTATGAAAACTTCAAGAACACCAATAAAGCCCTCTGAGCTATATACCCCGTCTTCCTTTCTTTGGAATTCAATTCCCCTGGACAAGCAATCAGCATTCTGCTTCTCATGCTCGGTAAAAACAGAGCTTTTGAATGGCGACACAACTGACTGAGGAGAATCCATGATAACAACCACAAATTGAACCTGAAGAAAGCAAAGCACAAAGGATTTAAAAACCAAGTAACTCCTATTAAAGCCCCAATTCAGAAATTAAAATATCAGTCTTCTATCAAAACCCTAAAATGCTGGAATAATACTAAAATGTTAAAAATTAGGGAAAAAATACTGAAATGTTACACTTTTAAAACTTCAAACTTGACAACAATAACCAGTATCAAATCAAAACCATAATGATAAACAACCCCAACCGTCTGCCCTAAGACCCAATTCACAAACTAAAACCTATGTTATATACTATTAAAATACTTGGATATCAAAACCCAACACCAAAAACCTAGCCCTAAATAAAAACCCTAGACTGCTATATTTGTCAAAAATACCGAGAAGCCAAAATCCAGAAAATTGATGACCGCTTGGTTGTCAGAAATCAAAACTCAACACCAAAAACAAATCCACAGCTTCAGACCCTAAAATTAGCTGGAATAAAGGAAACTTTTCAAAAACCCAGAAGCCAAAAGACCACCTACAACAATGAGGCCCTTTAGATGCGCTACTTGGGAGTCCGGATCCAAAAACCCAAATGCAGTAAGAAGAAAAAAAAAAAATCATGAGTTTTATGATTTTCAGAACTTAAAACCAAAGATTAAGAACAAAACTCACAAATACAAAAACCTAACCTGAGCTGAAGTGTAAATATAATTCTCAAAAACCCTTCAAAAGAGACTTCATGGCAAGAGTTACTCCAAAAACCAGACCCCAAACTTTAACAAGGAAAACCCATTATCTCGAGCCTAGATGAGCTATATAAAATTCCCAAAATTGAAGAGCCAAAAACACCAATAATAGAACTTTGCAAATGGGCAATTTCTAGTCCCATAACCCAAACCCTAGAAATAGGCAAAATCTAAGAACAATTATGTGAAGATATGAACAGATTCCAATAAAGCTACCAACTTTTACCTCAAAGAAGCACTACCACTGCCGGAATCCAAGGAAATAAAACAGGAAAAGAGAAAGCCGAAAGCAATACAGTAATTCAGATCTCACAGATATAATACAAAACGAACTAAATTCCACTTGAATCAAACAAAAAGCATATGAAAATTAACAGATAATTGAAAGCACAAAAGATGTAGAGAAACTTTTTCTTTTTCTTTTCTTTTGGGTAAGTGAGAAAAGCAATAAAAACACTCACCTGGGTGTGTTATTTTCTTTCTTTCTTGCTATCAAATCCAAAGTCCACCCAATTTCAGTATAATCTGTGGCTTCAATCCAAGATCCGTGGAGGACCCAGTTCGTGAATCGAAGTGCTTTCAAGGAACTCAGTAGTGAAGTGGAAGAAAATGAAGAATGAAATCTACTGAAACTTCGCGAGAATGTCTGTATTTTGTGTAGTGTGTGTGTTTGTATTGTAGTGGATTAACATACAGCGATTATCATTATATACGGATAGTATTGAACAGTTATGTTGTTCGCACTTGTGACTTGTCTGACATTTTAGAATTCAGACATGTTAACACCGACCCACGCGATGACCACAACCAAACACCAATCCAATCAGAGGATGTTTAAGTGCGGTTTTGCAGGTGGGACCCGCGTTTTGGCAAGTAATGGTCAGGCGCGTGCATATAAGAGCGTGGTGGATTGGTTGGTTTCTATATTAAGCGTTTATTCCTCCATTTACGAATTTCTTTATTTTTTCAATTTTTTATCTCACAAGTGGGTATTTATAAAAGCATTGCTCCTTCCAAGCCACGGGAGTTTTTCGGATGCTAAAAGTCATTTTTGCACGTCAAATTTATATTTTGACAATTATTACAGTGTCAAAATATTACATTTTAGTAATTTTGCTCCAATGATACATTTCATGCAAAATACTATTTTTTTACACAACCACCATTCTTTTTCAATTATCATTCCCACCATTCATATTTGTATCAGTAATATTAATATTAGGCACATTCCAAATCAAGTTGTAGACGGTAGAATGAAACTAAAATTAAACCTAATGAAAAAGAAGCAAAAATCTAAAATATCTGGTAAAAAAAAAATGATATAAAATAAAATAAAAAAATCAAAACCCATATCTTTTTATTATATATATATATATATATATATATTTAGGGCAAATCATTTCAGCCTCCCCAATCGCATCCATCTCTATTCTCGTTCTTCACTTTCCTTTTGCTTTTTAATCTTCGTCGTGGTAATCGTACAGCTCATCTTGGCTAACTCTCCCCGGTTGCCCCATGCCTCTTAGCTTGAGTGCATGTCATAGGTTTTCATAATGAAAGGATATAAAGAATTGACATCATACTAGTACAATCAACTCTAAAATGCCCCCCTCTTTCTCTCTCTCTGTGCAACTACAAACTACAAAATCAACAAGAATCAGAAGTTCAACTCCCAAGCTTGCCCCCTTCTCTCTCTGCAACTGCTAACTTGTATGTATGGGTTTTGATTTAATTTTTTTTCTAAATCAACTAATCAAGTTCTGTAATTCTCTGTAATTTTTTTTCTAAATCAACTAATCCATGGCAGGGGTGGCCTCTGCTCTCTTCCTTCTTGACATCAAAGGCCGTGTTCTGGTATGACGCAACTACCGTTCTGGTTTAATCTAGGTCTATAATTCTTGTTTTGCAAACTAAATCCTATTTGGTGAAATTTTTTATGATCTTTTTTAAATATATATATATATACAATATATATATATATGTCAAATCTCAACACAGGTACCGTCTTTCTCTCTCTCTCTGAAATAGCAGTATCTATTTCTTGTGCTACAATTAGCAAAAGTTTTGACAAAGTTAAAATTTGGCAGCACTTTTAGCATTGGATTGGAGATACTCTAAATGATGTTGTTTTACATTTAATTTGGTAAGTTGAGAATGGAATGAAAATCATCATTCAAATTTTAATGTTTGATATAAATATGAAATAATATAGGAATTAAATGATAATTATTATTCTAAGGTAGGGTTGTGAAAGTCGATGACGGTTAAAATAGTAAAAGACAGTGGCGGTGGTGACCATGAAAGGCGGTTGTATTCCAAGTCTCAATGACTTCGATTCTAGTATTAAAATCGATTTGGTTTTCGATTTAGCTAGGAATCGTACCGAAGTGCATCGTGTCCACCCTCACTCCTACATACATGTTCACCATTTTATTATCATATTTATTACATAAAAATAAATAAAGTGATATTCACAAACCCTTCTTGTACTATAAATTTTTAATTTTTTTAATACCTTTTACCCCCTATTATAAAAATAATCGAATCACCCCATTTTCGTTAGTTCTCGATTAAAATAAACGGTTATTTCATGTGTATGTGCCAAGTGCTTTACATTATAGTTTTGATTGACTATAATGCCCTTTATCAACCATAATACAATAATATAATTTTATAAATAATATATAACATTGCATAAATTATATATAACATGATATAATCTATTATACTAAAAATAAAAAATAATTTATGATATTTTGATCATTAATAAAACATGTAGGAGAAAGAAATAGAGGCAATTCTCAACAAAATACCTTCATGATTACGGAGAACAAACGCCCCCCTGCATTCGAGTGATCTTCCATTAAAAGAAGCATCGACATTCAGCTTACAAAACCCAGTTGGAGAGGGGACCATAAAGACGTATGGTTGAGACCGGGAGAAGGCTGTGACCGCATTAACTGGTATTGACGACGAATCTCTTGGCCCTCAAAAAAATCCCGAATCGCACTGTCCGCTACAGCTTTAGGTTCCATCTTTTTCTAATTAAACTCCCTATTGTTTCGATTCTTCCATATATGCCAACAAATATAGGAAGCCAAACCCGCACAACAAGGATAACAATGCATCTCCTTCCAATCATCAGCGAGAGAAGCCCAACGTCTAGGCCAATGCATTGGGAGTGAAACAACAAAATCCAGCCTTAAGGGACACATCTTCCACACTGCTTGGGATTCAGGACACATACATAACATGTGGTTAACTCTCTTTGGCTAGGCCACATCTTTTGCACACAGAGCAATCAATGATACGCTTCAACTTGAAATTAACATTAGCAGGGATCTTTTCATGCAAACTTTGCCACAAGAAGAACTGCACCTTCCTAGAAGAATGGACCATCCAAACATCTTTCCATCTATTTCTAAGTTGTTGAAGGTAACTGCATTGTAAGTCTTGCGGAGGGCCAAATGACTGGGATTGAAAAAAACCTTTAAGATAAGAGAAGGCTAAGAAGTAGGCACTCTTTATTGAGAACTTTCCATTCTTTGACCAACTCCAGACCTTCATGTCTTTCCCCTTCACAATACTCACTGGTAGTTGCAAAATCTTCCATCTGTCCCTACTGCTAAAATTTGCATTAATAATATCTACCTTCCAACAATGATTATAGTCGTCAATAAGATCAGCCACCAGTCGAAGACTTCCCCCATTCCTCTTTGATGAGACCCTGCAATTTGATTTTCCTGGAAGCCACGGGTCAGTCCAAATGTTAACTGACTGCCCATCCCCTATTCACCATTAGCCACAGTTGCAAAAGGTTTGGTGTTGCATGTTGCCCTTCAAGCATGCTTGGATTGGAATTTGTCAAACACAGTTGTGGAATGTGACTGTAAATCAGTTATTGAGCTCAATCCGACGGAGGAAGATATGAATGTGATTGTTGACGATTGTAAGTTTTTACTAGATAGAGGTAACAACATCTCTCTAAACTGGACCCCAAGGTCGGGTAATAGGTCAGCACATGTAGCGTGCAAAATGGCCCCATTCTCATGGGATAAGTTGGTGTGCTGGGATTCAATCCCCATTTCTGTCTCAAAGGCTCTGTTTGCATATGCCTCTTTTGTTTTGTAGTTTTGTTTGTATGGTTGCTTCTGTTAAAAAAATAATAATAATAATAATAAAATAAAACATGTAAATACAAATTCATATTTGTGTATGTTACAAAATTTATAAATTGATTAAAGTTTTATGTAACATTATTATATTATTTATAAATTAATTAAAGTTATATAATTATCTCAATTGATATATAAATAAAAACTTATATTTATATTAATTGTGTTCCCGCTGTATTCATGTCTTAATTTTCTAGAATTCGACGTGTCAATATATTCATACCATATCGTGTTTGAATTCCGTATCCATATTTATGTTTCTTAGTCCAAAAGAAAAAACTGGTAGTTTAAATTAATTTAGAGGGAAAGTGATTTCTAGCTTACCGTAAGAACAAAAAAAAAATATATTACAAGAACAAGAGTAATGTAGTCTAGAGTTAAAAATAAAGTCCAACAAAGATTCTGTATCAAAATACAAGAATAAACTCTCTCATATTAAATATTTATTTTAATAGCTGTTGTGCTCATTATTATTAGTAATAATAAAAAAAATCTGTCAATTTTTGTTACCATTCCAATGAATAAAGTCCAACAAAAATTATTTATTTTAATAAACTCTCTCTCATGCGAAACATTTATTTTAATAATGACGATGTTGGTTTTTATCACTAAATTCATATTAGTAGAGAAAATGAAGGTAAAATTAGAATTATTATTATTTGAGCTATCACTGCAATAGTTAGAATTTTTTTTTTTTTTTCCTTGACAAGAAAACGCGCCCTTAAATTCCCCTTTGTCTTTTGGGGACTCAAACCGCGAGTGGTGTGATTCAATAATATTAATATCATATTGATTTTTTTTTTTTTAATGAATTGAAAACTATATAATAATAAAAAATAAAAATAAAAAGGAATGCACGTAAGCTAAAAGTTCAGCCCAATATAACGAAGGCTTATATTATGATGTTCCAAAAAATATATATTTGATGGATATCTTGAGTATGCATGGATATTCTTGTAGTATTCCAATAATGACTTTTCATATAAAAATAAATAAATAAAAAAGAAAAAGAAGATATATAAAAAAACCAAACCTAAAATAAATTTTTCATAATTTTTTTTAAAAGGTGTAACCAGACCGTCAAAAAGTAGTTATTCTCAACTTTTTGATTAGATGATAAAAAGAAAAGAAAAGTCTGCAAAATTGGAAAAGCTGGATTAATTAATTTACCTAAAAGTAAAGACCTAAAAGATAATAGGTAGAAGAATTACTGCTTTAGTGGGAGATTCCCCCCACTAAGTTAGAGAAAATAGTGCCACTATTTTTATTTGGACCATATATATATAACATGCTTCACCCAATGACTATCACCTGTCCTATTCAAGCTAAAAGTCTTTGTTCTAAAAAGGCCAAAAACTGTGGAAATCAAAACCTAATAATCATAATGGTGAGTTGTTCACTTTTTCTTTAATTCAAATGACTCTTGAGGGGTCACCCTTTAATGTTCCTTAACTATCCCTTTGAAATTCTGCAATCCTCCAAATTAGACTTTTAAGACCTTGACGGCCTAGTGGACCCTCTTACAAACACCCTATCTCCCTCTCTCTCACTCATGATGCTGATAAAACTTATATATATATAAATTTGCACACTCATTTGTTTAT